TTGCGACGCTGGAGCTGACTGCTATTTCATTAAAACAATGCATTTTACAACGCGACTGCGAGCTCGACCGGTGCAGTTTAACTACGGTGTGGTAACGATTCGCATCAGTCATCGTAATTAACCAGTTGATCGGTTGCCAACTGATTGCTAACGATTTTCACGCCCGTCGCAATTCGTGTAAACTAGGAACTTTGGCGACATATGTTTTTCAAGAGTGTTCCTTATAAACTTTCACGAAAAAAATTAGCTGTCCCTATATTATATATTTTTAAACTATAACTAAAAAATATTAGTTACCGTAACTAAAATTTAGGCATGATAACTAATTTTTTTCCGTGTTGTAATGTAAAATCTTTCTTCCTTTAATTAAACGTGACGCAAAATCGAGACGAATAATTGCGCCAATTATTAAATACAAATTAAACTTGTTAGTTGGTATTTAATAATTTTAATAATTGTTCTATAAAGTATTAACATTTAAATATTAAAATTTAATTAAAGTTTTATAATATTTTTCTTTGTATAGCAAGTATAATATTTATTGTTCGATTTTGTTTCGTTTTTCGCAATGTATGGAATTTTGACTTATTAATTTTATGCAAAGTGACCGAGGCAAGTTTCAGGAAATACGAATCTCTAATTGTGTACACCCGCGTATCAATTCGCTTGATAATACAAAGTACGAGCTTTGCAACCTCTCTCTAAGCAACGTTTTCACGCGCGTGAATAAGCTCTTAAGGACTCGTTAACGGACACGCGTGACCAGCATGAAAAGCTCCTGTTATCGCGATACACACATACATATATTTTATATATAGAATTAAGAAGCTGCATCTCTCGGTGTGTGCATTTCCGGAATTTGCACGTATCAAGAGAATGCAATTTCGGGATGCACACATCGAAATGTGTGTTCTTTTTCTATCGCAGTGGTTCTTAATCTTTTTGAAGTTACGGAACACTTTTGATTATAAGAAAAATTTGCGGAACACCAACATCATTAAGATTATAAAAGTAATAACAAAAATATGCATGAATATATTTTTTATTATAAAAATTATACAGTACAAATTATGTAACAGTAAAAAATTTTTAATTTAAATTTAAATTTAAAAATAATATTCATAAAATTAAAACAATTGTAGTAGTTTTTTCTATGTATTGGTATGCCGTGCTTTCATAATTTCGCGGAATACCACGGTTAAGAACCGCTGTTCTATTGTATTGATGTATAATGTGTTCATAAAAATTCAAATAATAAAAATAACACTATAATTTATGAGATAAATGGATTCCGATAATTTGATGAAATCTGACGCGATATTTATTTTCGAACCGATTCATCATACGTATCGCCAATCGGTCAGGCCTAATTACTAAAATTGGATTAGGGGCCGATTGCCCAGTGGAACGTGGTCGCCATTGACGTCACGATTGTATGCACAGTCGTCACTCAGGTGTCCTGTTTCAATTTAGTGAACTTACCAAATCTTATCTAATAGTACTTATATTTTCATATTTGAATTGATTGCTTTATAATTAAAACGAGCGTCTAAATGGCATTTCCGTTTGTGATAATTAAAATACCCGACTATGTCAGGCAAAAATAATTTTTAACAATGCAAAAACAATTACTAGGTTCTAATGTTATACAAACAATTAATTCGAAAGCTTGAAGAACCGTTTGCAGGATTTTAATGCATATAAACTAATCTGATAATTCAGACAATGCGAATTATTTTGTACATTAAAATTCTGCAAACGGTTCTTGAAGCTTTTGAATTAATAATTTGTCAATTTTGTAGAATCTATGATTAACGAAATTGATGGAGATAACTGAAATTTGTTTTATTTAATTTATTATACAATCATAATCTCAGACTGATAACGCGATGCGTCCATCGTATGCATTTCTATCAAGAAGTCCGAGAAGTTTTATCGGTGCCAAAATCGTATCAAGGTATCGTCAGTCAAGCTCGAGATCATCAACGCCGCGGCCGAAATCGAGACTCTTATCGCGATACTTCTTGTTCTACGAGATAATCTTGAAAATAATAACGCCTTGAGCATTTAATTCCTCGCGAAAAAGAGGACGATGTCAAATTGTCCAGATCGAACAATCCCTCGCAGATTTCTATCGACACTCTCGCACGTCGTAATCATTTTTTATCATTTCGAAACGCTTTATTTTCAATAACATGCACGATCGATTACCGATCAGTCGAGCTGTGAGCAACATAAACTGGCAACAAGTGGATAAATAAACCGAGATGACACGTGCCAAGTTTATGAATGTAAGTATGATTTGGATAATATTAAAGTTATAAAATAATCGTGAACGATAACATCAAGTAATACTAAATAAATAAGACAGCGAGACAATCTCGTATCGGAGATATATTTTGGATCACTATTACGAGGGACTTCGTAGAATAAATAAATCTATCATTGAAGAGATATATTATTATACGTGCGCGATAAAATCTAATTTCGAAAGATACGATTTTACGTAGGCGTGCGTAGACAATATAAAGAGAGGACATCTGAAAAACTCACGCGCATTTTCGCGACATTAGATGAAACATTGCGACTTATTCGGCAATAAACAATAGGATTTCGCCCTGTCGACGCAGGCTGGGCGACGCTAAAAATAAGGATTTTGACGGTTGCCAAACTTCAACAAATATTCCCGCTGAGATTTGAAGCAGACATTCACAAGACATTCAGTTTGCGTTCGTATGCACATACGCATAGGTGCATTTGAATTGTTTGTCGGGAATAAAAACTACTATTTCTCGGAATAATATCTGCACGCACAATCGTGAAAAAAATACTCGCACATAACTTGCCGCAAGTTTATCACGAATCGCTCAAATCGTTCGAGCTCGCGAATGTAAAAAATGTGTCGAAAAATACAAACGCGTAAGGATGGCAAACGATTTCAAAATTTATCGGTGGCGAATAAAATTATTGAGCAGTGAAAAGACTTTTCTACAAGGTGACACATTCGATGATGTAAACAAAAAATGGTGCGGAGAATTTTTGTTACAAAGGAAATGATTAAACAAAGACAGAGAGACATTTTTTTACGTGATATCTTAAACGAAATTTGCGAAATGAACGAGTCAAAAATTTATTGCCATATCGAGAAATCATTAAACAGCGAAGAGAATAGATCGCGCAGAGATAAATAAAGTATTTTTTCACATTCTTCGATTCTCACTAATTCTTATTTATTTATTTGTCATTCTCAAGGTGATTAGAAAAATGCGCAAACAATGAACAATAAGGATCATATATATCAAAACTTTCTTGTTCCGAGCCTTCGAAACACTGACTCAATGACAATAAAAATCTTTTTATGAATATATTAAGTTTCACAATTTCTTTGAACTATCTCCGAATGTAATGACGATAACGATAAGGCGATAATCACCTTTTAGAATCTACTTTTACCGTTTTAGTTAGTTGAAACTTACGTTAGAACTTCATACGTTTGCCCGAGACTGCAGTAGATTTTTATATTCCGGAATGTGAAAAATAAGGAAGAACATATGATTCCGGTGCGATCCTGACTTAAGAAATGTTCGATAACTCGGGGAGATCCTTAAATGACTTAAACAATTCGATTTCCCGCGAATCAAATAATGGAAGTATCCAGTCCTCGACGCAATCTGCGGGCTTTTTCGCTCATTGTCAGTTTCCCACGCCGACTTTGGTCTTGAATAAGGCGTACTTCGTTTGTAACGACAGTTATCTCGTAAGTGCATGCCTGCATAAATTTATTCCATCTCTCACGACGATAATTTTTTCCTAGCGCATTATAAATAATTTCATTAGATTATGTCTTAATAATAATAACGAATTATCGGTCGTCACTCGAGAGACAATTTACGATAATGAATCAACACACAGACAATCATAACGCTTTATAAATAAGCTTCATGTGTTTCTAGCATGTTTCATTACTAGTTTTTGTGTTGCAAGTATATTTTAGATTTACAGTGAAATAGATGGGATGACATTGAAAGAAAATTGCATGAATTGCAATTGCGAGCTTAAATTAATCTTTGCACAATTAATTGTTTGCAAGTTTTTGTCCGAGAAATTTGTTATCATGCGCGAATATATTATTAATCGATCCGGATGCGGTCGATTTTGTGGATAAGATAAAAGCGTATTCCTTTTTTTCGATAAATAATATCCGCGCGAAAAATAATTTTGGATACTGTCGTTCTTTAGTTTTAAATCAGTCATCTAAATTTGCACATCATTATTATTTTTTTTCGTTGATTGACGCCATAAAAACATCTTAAATTGATCGAGCGAATAATAAAATGTCGATTATCTTTAAAGACAAATCTATCAAAATCGAAACACCGCGTCAAATTATTGATTGATAACAGATGCACGTGAAAAATATGAATTATATTTTTATTTGTCTCGTTTTCTTTTCTCTGTGAAAAAAAAATTAATTTTCTTTATGATAGAAATCTGTCACTTTTATAAATAAATAATGCTATGCAAGATCGTATTATATGTCTCACTCTCGTATATTTTGAACTACAGCTGTTGAATAAAAATAGAAAAATTTAGATTATATTTTCGGATTCAACACTAGATGTATTAAATGCGATGCAAAGTATTTTACGAAACATATCTGAATATATTACACACGGAGTTATCTAATTTAAAGTAACAACTCGAATGTAATCGTCTCGCGCGCGAATCGATTAATCAGCATCGCAGGAGGGAACGATATAGGGTGCATTCGGGGAGTTTTATCTAAAATTTCGTCCTACTTCATTTAAAATTCCGCAATCATTTAAAGTGAATTTAAAGTAACAACTCGAATGTCATATCGTCTTGCGCGCGAATCGATTAATCATCGCAGGAGAAACGACATAGGGTGCATTCGGGGAGTCTATTTGGCTATTAGCTCACATCATTCTCCGTCCATTAATGTCCTCATGCGATCATAATGCCTAAACGGCTGCCTCCAGATGTATGGTCGCTATACGAAGGACCTGGGTGAGTACGCGAAGGAAGAGGCACGCAGACTGAAGTACCACGAGAAAGCGAGACGCAAGTATGACAAGACGAGAGCCGAGGACCTGCGAAAGTCTCGACGGGGTCCCTTGTGCCGGAAATTGTTAGCCCTGCTGGCCTTCGCTTGGAAGCACACCGGTGCCCGGCTCGGCGAGGACTGGGTCTTCCTGGCCCTTTTGGGGATCATAATGGCGCTCATCAGTTACGCCATGGACCGCGGCATCTCCATGTGCAACAACGGTCAGTCTACTTGTCCTGTTAGGCGATAGAATAAATATTAAATAATATCTTCAATTAAATTTAATTATATAAATATCTTAAATATCCTCTCATGCGTTGAATAATATATACGGAGCAATTTTGATTACATATATATATATATATATATATATATATTATATAATGTTTAGATAAATTATTTTCTTATATATATTTTCCTCCGTAGAAAATAAAATAAAAATTGTGTTTTTTATTTGTGCAATCAGCATATGACTTTAAATAGAAAGCAATTGTAAAATCTGAAAATTATTAGTCCTAGTCTACAAAGGGTGATTTAAAGTAATTTAAGCACTAAGTTTTATGACTAAAAGCTCCAACCTGCAACGCATTTCTGGCCTTAAATGGCCTTAAGCTCTATAATCTCTATCTTAAATCTTCTTAAATCGCTTTAAATCACCCTTTATAAACTATAGGAGTTGGTCGATAAAGATCGAAAGAAACAGAAAGATTTTTAGAGAAATATTAGGAAATAACGCGATCTCGTTTCGCGATGCGCTGACAATGATCTCGTTACACCAGCCAGGATATGGCTCTATCAGGATCTTACGACGCATCCGGCCCTCAAGTACTTGGCCTGGGTGTCGATGCCCGTGTGTCTCATTCTCTTCAGCGCTGGTTTCGTACACATCGTCGCACCGCAAAGTATCGGCTCCGGGATCCCGGAGATGAAGACCATTCTACGTGGGGTGGCGTTGAAGGAATACCTGACCTTTCGAACCTTGGTCGCCAAGGTTGGTTAAACAATTCATATAATCCATCTTCATTAAAATCCTCGAGAAAATGAGTTAATCTTAGAGCGCGCACGCAAATCAAAGTGTTGCATTATAACTTTTCTTTTAAAGTCCCTGAAAAAGAATTCGAAAGACAGGGGAGCGATAAAGATCATCGTGATATGTCAAAGGTTATTGGCTTAACGGCGACTTTGGGATCGGGGCTGCCGCTTGGCAAGGAGGGTCCGTTCGTGCACATCGCCAGCATCGTCGCGACGCTTCTCTCGAAACTGGTCACGAGCTTCCAGGGTATCTACGAAAACGAGAGCAGGAACTGCGAGATGTTGGCCGCGGCTTGCGCGGTAGGAGTCGCCTCCTGCTTCGCGGCGCCGATCGGCGGCGTACTCTTCAGCATCGAGGTCACCACGGTATACTTCGCGGTGAGGAACTACTGGCGTGGTTTCTTTGCCGCGGTTTGCGGCGCCACGATGTTTCGCCTGTTGGCGATCTGGTTCCAGCGCGAGGAAACCATCACGGCGATGTTTGCCACCAGCTTCACCATGGACTTTCCCTTCGATCCGCAGGAGCTCTTCGTCTTCGCTCTGATCGGTGTCGGCAGCGGGCTGCTGGGCGCCTTCTACGTCTGGCTGCACAGACAATACGTCATCTTTATGCGGAAGAACAAGAGCATGAACAGCTTTCTACAGAAGAAGTAAGTTACTCGAAAAATCGCGTAAATCGTGATTTTTTAAATAATAATGATAGTCGTATACGAGGAATCTTTTATGGGATGTTCCATCAAGAGAGATATTTAATATACTTTTAGTCGCTTTCTGTATCCCGGCATCGTGTCCCTCCTAGTCTCGTCCGTGTCGTTTCCTCTGGGACTCGGCCAATTCATGGCCGGCGATCAGAATACGCACGATCAGGTTCACGGACTCTTTACCAATTTTACTTGGACGCGGGAGAATCTCAGCGTCGAGGAGATGAGTATCGTGAAGCACTGGTCAACGCCGTATACCGACGTCTTTAGCGGACTCCTTAGTTTCGTTTTAGTCACTGTAAGAAGATTTTATTTCATACTCGAGATACAGTCTTGTTGAAATTATTCTTAAATATATTTATGATAAAAAAATAACGAAGTAATGCGATAAAAACGAATTTTGCTTTCAGTTCATTTTTTCTATCATAAGCTCAACGGTGCCGGTACCATCTGGAATTTTTATCCCCGTCTTCAAAATCGGTGCTGCATTAGGTAGAGCAGTAGGCGAAGCGATGGCACTCTGGTTTCCCTATGGTGTGCGGTATGGCTGGATAAATTCAGCTATTATACCAGGTAATTTAGTTAAACATGCAATTATTTATTATATATAATATATTAGGTTTACTTTCTTCTTTACATAAAAAGAGAATAGATTGCACACATTCAGAATATAATATGAAATAAAAATTATCTCATATTGCTGAAATATATCGAATATAATTAATATCATGGAGGATGCAGGCTCAATATTTTATATCGAGCAATTTAATTAAAAAAAAGTTTGATCTTTTGTGAAATTAAATTATACAGGTGGTTACGCCACAGTGGGCGCAGCTGCATTTTCCGGCGCGGTGACACATACAATATCCGTCAGCGTCATCATCTTCGAGATGACCGGTCAGATCACTCACATTGTACCCATAATGATAGCAGTGTTGATTAGCAATGCTATCGCCGCGCTTCTGCAGCCTAGTATATACGATAGCATTATTCTTATCAAGAAGTTACCTTATTTGCCCGATCTGCTACCATCCAGTTCAGGTACTTCTTCTTTCTCTCTCTCTCTCTCTCTCTCTCTCTCTCTCTCTCTCTTTCTCATTCTCAATTAATTCAATTTATTACGAACTTTTTCCAACTAATAAATTAATATTATACGCTCAATTAATATTACACTAATTCCATTATTTCGTAAAGCATTTCGTTTGGAATGATTGGTAAGATAATTCTTAACTTGTTGCGAATTTATCGTGAAAATGATTTTTTAAAAAATGATTCTTAATTGTAGGAATGTATAATATTTACGTGGAGGACTTTATGGTTCGTGACGTGAAATACATATGGCACGGTATCAGCTATCAGAACCTGAAAGAGATACTGAAGGAGAATCGCAAGCTTCGTGGATTTCCGCTAGTGGATAATCCGGATTCCATGATATTGCTTGGATCGATTCAGAGATTACAGTTAATCAAACTCATCGAGAAACATATCGGTCGCGAGAGAAGGTTGCAGGTAATGAAACTTTTAACATCTTGCGGGAATTTATATGAAATTGTGTTTCGCACTCTTCATTTTATGTTACATTACGTGTTTGATGTGTTTAAGGTCGCGCAAAAATGGCACAAAGAGGCGGAGGAAAGGGCGCGCGAAGAAATAGAACGACAATTGCGGGAACAAGAGAGAACGAGAAGGCCTTCGAGATTCGAGGTCATCCCGGCACCGGACATTCTCAAGATGCAGCGGCAGAGTGTTAATGATCTAACGATGTCATCAAACAACAGCGGCGGTCCTGATCATGTGAGTCACACGTTGTCGTTTAGTTGATTTTGACGTCAATTGATAAACGATCGGGGCCGCGTATTATCGTTCTAGAGCGTTTTTTTTACGGTTGTTCCTCTCTGTTATTTCACTTTTATTATATTTATAATCCTCTTGAAAAATTAACATATTTTTCTATTTTTATCTTTTTTTTCAGCATACATACCATACACCAATATTCGGTTCGCAACCGAAGAAGTCGATCCTGAAGAAGACAAACTCTTTCACTCTAAAAGGATTCAGTCCGTTGGTCAGCCCGGCTGTGACACCCTATACAACTGTTACAGGCGCGGAAAGCAGGCGAGTTATTCTCTTTTTATTTATATTATTATATTTTATATTTATATTAATTTATATCTTCTTTTTAAGTATGTGTTTTAATGTGAGTTAAAAAATTTTGAGTTTGACATGTCCCTTCTCGATTTGCTTTTTCTTCAATATTTTATTTTTTCAATAAATATATATCATAAATGTGTAAAACAAAAAATTAATTCTTAAAATAAAAAATAAATACGTATATAATATATAGAAATATTAAATCCAAATAGTAGTTATATTAATATAATTATTCATATCTCAGGATACGCTTGGCGTTCGAAGCAATCTTCCGTAAATCCGCCACGTTGCAGGATGTGGATCCCGATCCAGAATTGGGCAGCGGTACTAGACGCAGTGATAGCCATGAAGCCATTAATGTGACGCCACATACGCCTATGTTGGCTCCAAGTCCGGCAACATCAAAGAAAGTCCAATTGGTGAGCAAAGTTCTTTGATTACATTTTTTACAGACGAAAAATAATGTTCACACATTTTTTGTGTATTAACTAGCCTCGAGAAAGAGTGATAGACATGTCGGCCGAAGATCAAAAACGGTGGGAGGAGAGCGAAATGGCACTTGAAGTGGATTTCTCGAGGTGTCACATCGATCCGGCTCCCTTCCAGCTAGTTGAGAGAACGTCTCTGCTGAAAGTTCACAGTCTCTTCAGCATGGTCGGTGTAAATCACGCTTATGTAACTGCTATTGGCAGATTGGTCGGTGTCGTCGGATTAAAAGAGGTACGCATGTTCAAAGATTTAATCTAGATATAAGTAATATAAACGCTCGATTATATAAAAACGATAAACAGATTTGATAAAATTAATAAAAATGTTATTTTGCAGCTGAGGAAAGCCATCGAAGATGCAAATGCCGGGATTCTGCCGATGCATCCTGAATCGCATATCGCCGAATCGATCTCCAGCTTAGCAAAGAGCGAAACGGATACAGAGAGCAACAAAAACATCAGCGCGATGAACTCCATAGATTCCGTAGACTGTGAGAAAATGGATAAAGTTTAAGGGAGCCGAATCGAGATAAGTGAAAATTTTGTGATAGCCACGTCGTTGAGTCATACGACGTGACCTGAATAATGCGAAAACTGTTTTACTAATCCTTATTCCCTTCCTTTCATGGTTATTCGCGCGATTCGAGCGCTGGAGCCGAAATTACGCAATCGTATAACAATATTAATTCTTAAACACTTCTTTCTCGTACTTAAACCTAAGATAAAAGATCGAGAAAGTCCTAAGAAAAGCCGCGAGATAGTATTAAACATGTGACCATTGTATTCCGAAATTTTTTTATTTTATTTTAACATAATATCGAATTAATCAAGTGACATGATTGCGGGACATGTTCGCGTTCACGATTGTAGATAATTTTTATAAATCGAATAAATTCATAAGGTTTCTCGACGGACGATTTACGTAGGAAGGAATATTGTGTAGAGAGAGAATTTATATTTTTCTGTTATATTTAGGTAAATTATAATAAGATATAATATGCGTGTACATATGTATACATATGAGAACGCTTACGAAATCGGAGCACTTCATCGATATATGCGATAGCAGTGCTTGAACTATTTGCTAAACTGTAATCGACAGCAAATGAATTTAGTTGCAGCGAGTCGTATATGTTCGAACTCGCTAAATATCTTAGTTGAAGACTCGAGCTAAGAATATACGAGTTTACGAATATGCTGTGAATCATAAATTTAATTATATAAGGTAAGTTTCTTTTCTCTTTCCAAATACAAGAGTCTCGGCAGAGCGAAAGTGACTCGAAGTGCCAAACGCAGTGTGACACTACACTTTCCTTCGGGACACGAAATGCATAATTTATATTATGAACCAATGTTAATTTTACATGTGAGACCATCAGGAATTGTATGCCAATGCTCCCTTAGCTAGAAATTATCTGACCATGGTTGTGCCAGACTATTATTTATTAATATAATTGTTAATTAGTGTTATTTAAGGTAAAAGCTGTGTTATAGATCAAACTTTGCAAAAAACAATTCTCTTTTATTCTTTACGCGATACTTATACATAGAAGCAATCAGAGAAAAGTGTTTCAATTGGATCAAGTGTATCTATTGGATTTATTTTAAGAGCAACTCTTCAACTTGCATTTATTCTCATAGAATACAATTATGTAACTTGTAAAAATCAAGCGCATGAATTTTATTTCTTATTAAAAAATCCAATTAATATTAAAAACTTATAGAATCCTACAAATTTTCAAAGAATTTGTATTATATTATAAAGCACAATTAAAGCTTCAGCATTTTATATATTTTCAAGATATCAAAAATATTTTCATAATTCGCTATTAGAAGATTATTTAGATGAAAGATTAGATACGTCGAAGAATTATCATTCTAGTAATTTTTGCGCACAACAGAAACGATATGCTATTTTATCAATATTTATAATTATTATATAGATTCAATTTTGGCAACATTTAATGCATGTTTTACATTCCATTGGACAAAATTTTCACTTCGTTAGATAGTATGTGCAACATTACGTTGCATCGTCGCGTTGTACGCGATAACACTATTTGCCATTGTAAATACACTACACTTATCGTCAAAGACATTAAATAATTTATTATTATCTATATGTTCGACAATATTGTATATATATATATATATATATATTAGATTCCATTTTTTAAATATTAAAACACCAACAAAAACACAACAAAAGAAAAATTGTTGTTACAAAGTGTATATGGTATGATACTATATTACATGATTCTCGATACAATAATATCAAAATAAGATTCTTTCTTTCTTTCTCGATTATAAAATTAATAAGATTTACAATTAGTTCATTTTATTTCAATCTACGACACAATAATTATTTTCACGTACATATATATACGTTATGTTCAACACTTGTCATATACATATCTTCGGAAAGATAATCACATTTACGAGGACAAATAATTTGCTAAAGTTGCTATGTTGCAACTTTAAACATTTTAATAAAGACCTTTTAAAGAAAGAAAGAATCTTCTAATCAAATAACATTTGTATGTGTATAGTCGACAATCCTTTTGTTAATCCTTTTGTATCCTCTTTAATTATTTGTCCAGGCTGAACCAACCGTGCAAACATTTAGGCACTGGCCCAGACGTGTCAAAAGTAGCTCTCGCGACTTCCGTAAATGTCACAGCATCCAAGATTAATAGACCGACCCTAGTCTCCTCTTCCGCCCACACCATAGAGCTTACAACCACACCATCGTCCTCGTTCTGGATGGAGAAGGCAAAAATAAAATAACAAGAAATAATTAAGCAATTTTCCCTGTACAATATATAAAGCTCACAAAATGATACCTTTCCGTTCGGATCCGGCACGAAAATTGGTTCACTAGGATAAACACCTTTTTCTTCCCACGTTTTCTTAGTCTTTTGGTAAGTATCGACTTTGATCAGCTGAAAATTAAATTAATTTTATTTATGTCAAATAAAAATGTTTCGAAAAATTCATTGTTCGATTACAGTAAAAATTTGAAGAATGTACTAACTGTTCCGGGATTGTCCAAGTCCAAGTCGCAGGAGATCGCATAAAAGTATCGATACTCCTTACCAAGATGGGAATCAGCATTTATCCGTGGAGTCTCACAACCGACATCGCAGAGGAGCTCCGGTTTTACGAAGATTCTACCATCGGGAACCAAGTGAGCGGCCGGCTTTCTTCGTAGAACGCTTCCACGCTCGTCTCGCCAGCATCTGGATTTATCACTGTACTCGTCTGTATCACCGACAATTTCCGTATTGATATTAATCACATCCTGGAATAGCTGTAACTTCTGATGCATCTTTCTAATCATAATGAGATTGTACTGCGACGATATGTTAGGCTGCAGTTCCCTCATCGGAAGGATGAAACGCAACGGTCTGGCGCGAAATAGTTTGCCGAAGTCGGGGTCTTCGTGCATATTCTACGTGATAACAGAGAGTTGACGATAGAGTTTTCAAAATTCAAAAGTTGTCGGTGTTGTATAAATCGCACTTTCGTTGCGGAAAATTTGCAAAATGTCTATACCTTCATTGCATCAATATACATGTACTCCAACATCTTCGGATCCCGATAACAGCATATGTCGAGCACGACGTATTCCTTGTCGCGGGTCTCGAACTGATTGATGATGTGAAGGTAGAAAAATGTCTCCGCGACAAAAGTTTTGACCAGTTCACCAGTTTTCCTCGAGAGCACATGAATGAGCGTCTGATAAACGAAATTAAATGTATAGTTCAATTTTTCGTTCTACCGATAATTATGTAATTTAATTAAGGATTTTTATATGAAAACGTACGTTTTCGTTTTCGTGCCATTTGAAAGAATTTATCATTGGTTCTTTCTTTATGCGATTAAACGCCATTCCGATGAAGGAGATCGCCAACGGTTGTTCCACAATGATGAAGTAATTGTCGGTGATGCCGAAAGTGTGCATGTACGATGGATTCAGCAGCCACCTGCTCGGTACGCTGGCTACAATTGTTGCTTGATCGAACATGGACAGTTTTTTCTTCTCTCCGGAATCATCTAGAGATTCGTAGAGAATTATATTCAAATTACAGAACTTAAATAACGATGTCTCTCTTTCTCTTTAGTCCATTAATCCACGTCATACAAAATTTTTTCAAGTCCAAAATTTAATTTTTCTTCACGCGATCATTGATTTCGGTTTTGCAGTAGACCTCCCTACAAATATTTTACTTCCAAAAATGTCTAATATATAAAAAAATATATCTTACCAATCGTCGTGCGTGGAGGATAAAAGCATACGACGTTGTATCGAGGTCCTAATGACGTTAAACTTAATCCTACATTGTAAACCGTACCATCGGCCATAACATGAGGATGTGAAGTATGATTTACGATGTTAACATATTTCGACACGTTTACCTGCGAGAAGAAAAACAATTCTTATGAAAAAAAATTGTTTTACTATTTTTTAATACTTTTTAATACTTTTTATTATTAGAAAATTTATTTAAATTTTATTTTAATTTACTGATAAGTTATAACTTTAAAAATTAATAATTATAAATTATTAATTTATTAGTTAATATGAAAAGAACATTTGAATGTTTTTACCTTGCCTGTTGTTTCTAAAGTTTTTGGATCAATTCTATGTATTATTGGAGCTTCCGCGAATGTATAATATTCATCACCGAAAGGATACACCGTGATCATAGAATTGTCTGACATTTCATCTGCTTTGAACATAGTGGACACTCTGAAAAGTTATAAGTTATAACATACTTAAAAAATATAATATGAGAAAAACAAAACATAATTTGTGTAAAGCATCGCGAGAGTAATAACATATAATTTTCTCTTTGAATTAATCGTTACATTTATTTATTTATTTTAATTAGAATTATCTTTTCCTGTTTCTCTTTCACCTGTGAAAAATACTGTGACAAGGATCCGGCGTCGCGCAAGTACCAAATTCAGTGAAAACTATCCTTTGAGCAGTCATGTTTCTCTTATATACTTCTGTTTGAACGAATCGTCGCTGATAGGTGACTTTTCCATTTGTGATACGAAATCTGTAGAATATTTAAATTTATTCGTATGTAAATTAAAATTTATCGCAAATTCTTACCGTCTTGTATTTTATCATAAAACTTACTTATGTAACAGGGCAGAACTGTCGAACAGATGTTGATAACGATGTTCGCCCACTTTCAGATTACCCGGACCATTCCGCAACAGGGTGCCGGTCAACCACGAGGGGATGCTACCGACGATTTTGCTCGATCGGAGAGGCTCGATCACTTCCTTCTCACAACTCCTCATCCATATCGAATCATCGCAATTGGGATAGTAACATGTATCCTGATCATCTGTCAAGTCATCGTCCAGTATTCCACTATCATCACGCTGTAGTTCAAAGGTACATTACATCCGTTTCATGTATGATGCATATGATGCCTTGTTTAACATTTGGTGAACAACAAGGATAATTATGATTTCATGCAGGATGCACATGATGCATCATTTATCCTTGTGCATTATGCGCATTATGTATGAAATGGAATGTACAATCATATGTTAATGCGTACAAGTTTATTTTATACACCCATTTTGTACACCCAACTATCTGCGACGTCTTTATATATATATCACTTATCGTATAATGATTTTCGGAGACTTACATGAAATTCAGTAATTTGCAATAATTTCCCGCACTTTGCATCTTCAAAATTATCCATCACGCTTGGCATATGAGATAATGATTCGTCGAGTGGTGTCACGAGACAATTAATGTAATCCATTTGGAATCTCTTATTTCGTACGGCAGATTGAATTTGATTATATTTGATTAAAGCGACCGTCAAATTGTACGGATTATATATAATTATATATATATATTCTTCCAAATTTAAATCAAAATTAATTTTTATTTAATATTAAATTTACTTTCAGATGTATTAATATCTTTAGATAATTTTATTTTCGAATTTTCATTCGTTCGCAGAAAGATAATCCAATTTTTCTTATAACACACTTGAAGTCGGATTACGAATCACGATACGATTATATAAGACACACACAATTTTTAATTTTTTATATTTAATTTTTATGTGAAAAATATATATATATATTTTAGTCACACGTCTTCCTCCTCTTCGTCCACGATAACGTTGTGATCGATCGCTGCTGGTTCTAATACGAGAGGTCTCAAAATCGCGAAGAGTATCTGATGCAGTCTTAGGTGAGTGAAATCCATATATCATTCGCGGTGCACGTTTCGACGAGGAATAACATCCGACCACGGATCTACTGAATAAAATGTATATCATTCGCGGTGCACGTTTCAACGAGGAATAACATCCGACCACGAATCTGTCGACCTTAGAAGCGATTCTATCCTTGGGTTTTTTTTTAATCCGATTTAACGAGCAAGACTATTTGTGATGATTGAAGCCTCTGATCGCGGCTTACGTGCAGTAATACGCAGTTATTATGTTGACGTGGAAAACTGCTAATATGTGTCATACAGGTCAAATAAATTACATATATTTTACATTAAATTATAAATTAATTAGGAATCATATTAAATAATTAGGAATATATATATATATACACTTTTGAGATTAATATACACTTTTGAGATATTTTATTTAATAGCAAATTTTGAATTATTCAATTTTTCCATTATACAGGGTGTCCGGTAACTAACGGACCAATGATTAAGGGCGGATTCTCTGGCCAATTTGGAGACGATTTTTCCTTAGCAAAAATATTGAGAAGTCAATAATTTTCGAGTTATAAGCGATTGGAAAAAATGGGTCTTTTGAAAACTAAACGTTTTGCAGTTAAAAGTCTAACATAATTACATTCTTCAGTTAATTTCAGGTAGAGTTTACTATAATAAAATTTTAATTTGAGGCTTAATTATAAAGATACATAATGACAAATATTAGAAAGTTGTAAAAAATGATGACCTTTTTCGACATTTTTGCTGAGGAAAAATCGTTCCCAAATTGACCAAAGAATCCATTTGTAATTGTTGGTCCATTAGTTACCGGACACCCTGTATATAAATTATCATAAAAATTAATATATATAATATGATATAAATCGATTATATTTTCTTCAACATCGATATGCAAGTTTTCTATTTTACCGACCGTTTAGCGTTGATGGTACAGCAAATGACCTATAGAGGGCACTATAAGTATATTTTGGTCGTCATCGTCGCCATATTCATTTTAATCTCTATTCTGCTTCGGAAGTGCGAGTACGACGCGGTAATGAGTCTACGAATAATTATACCTGCCAATTAAATATCCGCTCAAGCTCCACATCATTATAAGTAAGAATATACACTTGTTCTCTTTTATAATACAGTTATGATAATAAGCAGATGAATGAATAAGTTTTCGAAAAAAATGCAATTAATATTTACCCCTCTCTTTCTCTCTCAATGCGATAATTTTATTTCCAAATAATTGACACGAGCAACAATAAATAGATTTCTCTGAGATCTCATTTGTTTTTAGACTGTATTTGTCATCGAATCTTCTCTTTGCTCTTATTTAGCGACATTAGCGATATGTTAAATTTTAAACCAAGTTGTTGTTGAATAGAATAAATTAGCGTTGCGACATATAGTTTGTCATTGTAATGTTATATGTACAAATCATGCACCCATCTCGTCATAATCTTTTCACGCAGCGCGTTTTTACTCGATTATTTATTACTCAGTTATTTATTAAGAGCCATTACTTATCGATAAAATGTCCTTCATCAAAGGACTGACTATATATTTATATATTATATAGTATTATGCTTTTGCTCTTTCTCCTGCACTTGAAATATGCAGGTTGTGCGATATGAACAGACCGGAAATATCGATCGAAATTATTAATTACATAACCGTTTACGCCAATTAATTGCACTCATTTGCCTCCGCAATAATTTGCACACAAAATCGAATAAAAAATCTCAAGTTTTATATAACACACATAAAATCTTATGCAAATTCTATACATATATATATGTGTATATATATATATATATATTAATTGATTATATATGAACAATTTTGGAAAAAGATTTGTGATACGAAAATGTAAATTTTTAGATAAACAAATATTACAAAGAATTATCTCATAATTTTTCTCATTTTACATATACAATAAATATATATATAAATAAAACAAATGCAATTGGACACTGGACAGAAATCATATATATATGTTCATCATTTTTTGTTGGTCTTTATAGGAAACAGAGACCTTTGTCTCATCACGAAGACGACAGATGGGTGCCGCTTCACTTCCAGCAAATATTCCGACACAATGACACAAGGACAATGAAGTCAAACGTCGTCGTGTGGGGACGAATACAGACGACGACCTGAGAAATTGATGGCGTAATCACAAAAAGAGCACAATGATGATCCGGTCCGCTTATTACACTGGACAAAATAATTTGTGGTGAGTTATTGTTATTCTAGAATTGCAACTTCTTCTTGTTATAATTTTTTTCTTCGTTTCCTTTGGTCGCGAAGACGGAAGGAAACAGTTAAAAATACAAAATTATCAAAATTAAAAAGGTAAAATGGCAAACATTTTTAATGTCAAATTCTTTGATACAACATATACAGTCACAAACTTTTACTTTTTTTTTTTTTAATATAAATTTATATTTATTTATTTAGACCCACATATTTGTCGAAAGATTTGGAAATAAAATTAAAAATTCAAGGATTTCGGAAAATAGATATAAAATGTTTAATTATTCGTGTGTACTTATGCATCTATTCATATAGACTGAAATAATTGCTGAATGGTATTTACACGATGTTATATGATATTCACACAATGTTCATTGAAAAACGTCATCATTTTCGTAACATGTTAACATATGTGACTTTATTATTGAGACGTTAAATTTAAACACCTACTATTAAAATTGATATTATCCGACCAGATAAAGCCTTTGCAATTATTGCATAAACATCCTAATTATACTCGTGATAAGAACAAAATGCAACTATAAATGCAACAGGTATGTGGATCACGTGTATATTTATGATTGACGGAATCGAGATAAAAGCGAAGAGACACTTGCGCTAGTTTTGATATTTTATTCATAAAAAAAATATTAAACTTTTCAAAGAATGATGGCAAAAAGACCTGTTTTTTTGTTCATTTTATATAGGGTCGAATTTTGGGACTTCAAATCTTCAAATTTCAAATCTTTTTTTATCCCAAATAGTATATGATGAGACATTAATCTTAGAGAAATTTCAAGATGAGCATAGGCACGGTTCCTTAGATATGAAGAAATGAAAGTGATAATTTCTCATAAACCTGATTAAAAATCATCATTTTCCTCCTTGTATCTCTGGAACCGTGTCTATGCTCATCTTGAAATTTTACTGGGATTAATGTCTCTAATGTGTGTCATCTAATAATACTATTTGCCATGAAAAAAAGTTTGAAATTCGAGGTCCCAAAAATAGGCGAAATTTATTGCTATCACTCTTTAATTACAATTATTTTTTAAATTAAATAATCTTAATTCGTTATCGAGAAATATTAATACTAAAACAACACAACAAAGATCTAACTTTACTTTTACAAATCGAGGGAGGAAACTAAATAATGATTTTTAATAATTAAAAAAATTATTTCATTTTAGAATTATTTGATAGAAAGAATTTAAATAAAATCTAATACGAAACAAATTAAATATCAAATAAAAATATCGATATGTAGCATATTATTTTTATCTCTTGCTCTGTATCTACTTTAATTTATTCTAACGAAAATCAATTTATAATATGAAAGTTATTAATATACTCTTCACGATATGTAAAGATACGTACTTAGTTACACGCGTGTGTAACGATTGCAACGCGTTTTCCGCCTGTCAGTGTTTCGCGTCGCGCGCGGAATGTATTGTTTACCAGAGTAGATCGTGCACATGCTCACACCACGTGGCAGTCACGTGCAGGCGAGGCGAGATACGTGTCACGTGAGCGCGAGCGCGCGGCCCGCGCCAATAAAGTCAAATTAATGCCACTACATACTCGGTGGCTGAAAAATCGTCATTCTCTTTTAAAGTCCTAGTTCTTTTTCCTTTTCGCTCGCATGAAGAATATCTCGTTTTTTAAATATTTTTTTCTCGATATTTTGAAGTGTTAATTTATTTTTTTTATAACGACAGAATTAACATTACTTTGAATGAAATAATATAACTAACAATCATTTATTCTCTTAAGAGTATGATAGAACGAAAATAAATAAGAGATGAGAAAATTGAGTTAAGATAAATAATTCAAACAATAAAATGAACATGATAATTAGGATTTGTAAATATAGATACTAAGCCCGAATAATCCATAAATGAGCGCGGTAATTGATTCTTTTTTACAATACAAATACGATGAGCACGCACGGTAGTCTCCTTAGAAATAAATTACATACATACATTCGTCGCGCATTGTTACATTTATTACTATAACATTGCATATCTCGTAATTCTTTTACTCTTCAATTTTTTCTTTTATTTTATCCTATACTGTTCGAACTATAATTAAATGTTATCTGCTTTCTTTGTATCTTTATTTTTATCTGCTTGCTTTATATATTGTTCTTTTTATAAATTAAATATATAAATTAAAATATAAAAATGCAAGGACGAATACATACCATAAATATTTTGATCTTATAGTTTTTTTTAGCGATTATTGATATAACGAATAAGTCATAATAACACAGTTACATGCTTAGCTTATATAATCGTAAAAATGTATCGATAAGATATATTTATTTTTTTTATAAAAAACAGCATTTTAATTTATAGTACTATTTAAATAAAATTATATCAAAATCTAAAATAGTACATATTTTGAAGATAATTTTTATGGAAGTTAATCGCAATTAATTTATAGTATAATTATAGTATCATAATTATCTAGTAAGAAATAACGATATTATATTAAACCAAAGTTGTATATCAAATAGATTATACAATTGTAGCGCATTATTATTCTATTTATCGGGTTTATTATATTGAGGAAGAAAAAGCCGCAAAAAACAATTGTTTTTTGTCAGGTACATTTTGCAAATTGATACAGCAAGTTGAAGTGCAATATATATAGCGTATCGCATATTCGCATATCGATGTTATCCACTTATCATAATGTCGAGAATTGTCGGTCAAGGTCGCGAGAAATACATTCTTAATATTCATAAACTTAACAATTCGATATATCGATTTTAGCTGTTTCACGTTTGAGTTAATAGCTGTGGATTCTCAGCTATTGTCTTTCAGTTAATAACCAAAAGTTTTTTATGGCATCAGATATAAGATGTCATTTCTCAAATTTCAAAAACACAAAGAGAAAGATAATATTATATATCTTTAATAAAATACACTGAAAAAAATTTGTTTAACTTGATTAAATCTTTCAACTAAATTACTATTTTGTTAATTGAACATATATTAGTATTTAAGTCAAATATACGTTTTGTTAGATTTAGGATATTTAATTTAAATATTTATTATCAATTAAAATAATATTTAGTTGGAAGGTTTAGGGTTTAGTCAAGTTAACAAATTTTTATTCAATGTAGCTATTGTTAGAACTGTATCTATAGAAAATCTTTGATTAAACTACATTCTCAAAATTGCTATCAATATATATTTTGAAACAAATTTTGATGTTTTAGAATTATGCCAATAATTATATAGTTCTACGATTAAATTATTATTCCATTATTCGTGTAGCTATATAATTCATTCGAAGAATTTCTCAAATTACTGTAATTCAGCGTATGTTTTTTTGCGCTTGGCAGTGCAGATAATACGAGATCGAATAGGCAATTAATTCTGATAGCGTAAATGTCAATTTCCAAGAAAAACTTTTGTCACTCGAATATATCTCACCCAGTATATCCGAGATATCCTATATTTTAGAGAGAGACACGCACTTTCAGCTCTTTCATTTATAGTATTTGTCGCACGATGAGTGGCTTCGCCATAACGAGCTTTTGAGTCATGAGCACGCGCGTCAATTTCTATACTTTTATCGAATTGTTTACTCCTTGCATTTAACGAGATTGCTCGGTGCGATTAATTAATGGTGCTCATCCCATTGACGCGTTCCAACTCGCTAATTAACGATGAGAAAGAGAAAAAGAAAGAGAGACGGAGAAAGCAAACGGTGTAATATCGAATCCAATTTCATTTCGAACGTCTCTTTATTGCATAAACGATAATTAAAGTTTAACGTAAAAAAAGACTATAAATATAAGCGTGCTTAAAGATAGGAAATTTAAGATGAACGGATAAATTTTTCTCGTTTTTGCAGTTATGTGTTTCAAATAGTATTATAATTATTTATGTGCGTGCAGAAACACTTTTTATATTTGTTTTTTTTTTCTATTCGTTTCGAGCACATTTATTTATTTTTTATTGGAGCAATAACTGGCAACTTTCTTTTTGCACTATAAGTATTAATTATCGCTAATTAAAACCTCTATAAACGAGATAATATTAAGTACTTAAGCAGCCAGTTAAAATTCTAATTGCGTGCATAAAATTCGCGTTTACACTTTCTTATAATTTGTACAATTAAAAATATTATTTATTTGATTTTGATGATTCAGCTAAATATGCAATCACTGACAGAAATCGAAGATAATAATTTCAATCAATAACATTCAATAAATTTGTCATTGAATTAAATGCTCCATTTAATTCCCTGTTATATAGGTCGATATCTGTTTAATATTGCGATTATCGTGCATATTATGAGCTTTATATTACCTCGCAACTTATTAACTCGCCATTTTAATCGTTCAATTATACTAGATAATTGAGATAATTCGCAATCGCTATTACTCATCGTATAAATATTAAATAAATGATTTTGTATTAGTACAAAGAAATGGTAAGATTATGTCTCTTAAATAATATTTGATAAATTCCTAAAATGTATTACATATATGCTTTTTTATGATTTTATAATACTAACACATAGAAATATCTCCAGTCAAACAGAATTAATATGAGCTGATAAATGAACAGATGTTTGTGCGTTGAATCTTTTATTTTTTTTTTAATATGATTAGTCTCCAATAAAGGTATCAATGTCATTTTTGCAAAGTGCGTAAGATTGAACGCACGAGAGAGAGATTTTCAAATAAAATATCGGCAAACTCTGAAAATTTTACATTTATGTATTACGCAATGACTATATTTCTCGTTTACCTCCGCGCATATATATATAATTTTAACAATTTAATTTATTTTCTTTAAAAATCTTAACTTGTCTTCATGTAATTTTTTTTAATATATAACGATCTCGATATCTTAAAAATTACACGCGAAAAGATTATTATTATAATCGCTTTAAATATCTAGAAATATGTAGACATAATATTACACACTGAAAGAAATGTGAAAAAACTTAACTAAACCTTTCAACTAAATATAATTTTGTTAATTGAACACATAAAAATATTTAAATTAAATATATTTGACTTAAATACTAATATATGTTCAATTAACAAAATAGTAATTTAGTTGAAAGGTTTAGCCAAGTTAACAAATTTTTCTTTTTAGGGTACAAATATGTTGGTATTCATTAAGCAAATCAATTTGCTTTTGGATTAATATAAATTTTTATTGTGTTTATAACTTCCCGATTTTCTTCATTTCCACTCGTCTTCATTAGTTTACAATTTAATCTCTCGACAGCATTTATTACTGATCCGAGAGGCGAGGAAATAATTTTTTTCAAACTCGTCTTTGTTAACACACCTTAAAAAATACCGTTTACGAGAAAAATGACAGTCCGTCTACCATATGTCATCGCGTGTCAAGAATAAACAATTCGCTGTTTCTATTTTTATCCATTTGACTGTACGGAGTGTTAAATTAAAATCGTATTAAAGTTAAAATTAATCAAAGGACATAATTTCATCATCTACTTTTTCTTCTTCGAGAGATTTGCTCTAATTTTTTTCAAGCGTTTAAATGCTCCAAAACTAGCCGGCGTTTTCGATGCTTTCATCAGAGAAAAATTCGATTTCAAATCGGTCCAGGAATTCGAATGTAGCAATAATTTTTCGGTGATACACCGTATAGGTATCGAGAATTATACAGACATAGATTCGCGACTGCGTGTCAATCTAATTCA